ACGTCAGGATTGGAGCAGATGTTAAAGCTTCCTTTAAGTTGTTAAATGCATCCTCGCATTCCTTTTGTCCACAAGAACGTTTGCTTGCTCTCTGTCAGCTTGTGAAGTGGGTCTTGCGATGGAAGAAAAGTCCTTCACGAATCTCCTATAGTAGGTGCAAAGCCCTAGGGAAGCTTCTCAGCTGATGGACATTTTCGGGACGCGTCCCTGGATTTAACCGCTGATACCTTTTCAGGATCCGTGCGCATACACCTTCTGCAGAGATGACATGTCCCAGGTAAGTCACTTCCTTTCGAAACAATTTGCATTTAGCGGGAGCTCAGCTTCAGATTGGCTTCTTTTTTCAGTTTCTGAAGCACCTTTCTAAGATTTTCTAGATGTTCTTCAAAACTCTTTCCGACGATGATGATGTCGTCCAGGTATATCAGACAGGCTTCGTAGGAAAGGCCTTTCAAAACAGTCTCCATAAGACGTTCGAATGTTGCCGGCGCATTACACAGTCCAAACGGCATCACTTTGAACTGCCAAAGTCCTTGTCCCGTAGTAAATGCCGTCTTTTCTCGGTCATCAGGATGGATTTCTACCTGCCAATACCCACTCTTTAAATCAAGTGTTGAGAACAAGTGTTCTTTTACAGAAGAAACTCTTTCTTCTATTTCTTCTTTCACCGAAGAAACTCTTTCTTCAATTAGTCCATCTTTATTTTCAACTGTGTCAATTCTGCCTTCCATAGCTTCAAATTTATTTTCTATTATGCAGGTAATCTCTCTTTTCATTTCTTCTTGACCTGCTTCAATCTTTTCTTGACCAGCTTGAACGGCTTTCATTTCGTCCTTAACAGATTCCTGGCCCAACTTTATTTCTTCTTTAACGGACCTAATTTCTTCTTTAACAGAGTCTTTTTCATTTCTTTCTTTAAATGTAGCAAAGGCTTACCATGAATTGTTTTTAACTTGTTCTTCCATCGCTCTTGTGATTGGCATTCAAACCCCACTCCTGACACCCAAAAATTGTTGCGTGGCGTACGGATTCGTTACTAAATGAATGCACAAGTCCGATGAAAAATGAACAAAAATTTATTATTATCACAACAAAAATGCTTAAATTTTCTCAAATTATCACGCAGTATTACAATATCTCACAGTAGTTTTCTTTTAACTACTCAAATGTCCAATAGAACGTAATTCAAAACAGCTAAAGAACGCTAATCCGCGAATTCGCTACAATCAACAACAGTAGTTTTCTAAACAACAACAAATTAAGCAACTACTACAAACTGAGATGTTTTCCTCCTTTTATAAGATTTTAAAATCACGCGCTAGAATTTTCCAGCACTTTCTCGAAATCAAAAAGAGATATTTATTTATTTAATGCACGCGCTCTTGTATTTTTAATTTTTCCGGCTTAGCTTTCTTTTAATATTCGTCACGCGCTGCACTGCGCGAGAAATAAAACCATTTAATTTATAATTGAACTAACATTAGGTTTTTAAATACCAAATTCGTAACAGAATTTATCTTATTCACAACGAATATATTTAGTTTATTCACCTACAACTTTTAATGCTAACAATGGATATAATCAGATCATACACAATATGCATTCTGAATCTTACACTTTAAAAATCAAAGGAATGCAAACACTGAATTAAGAAAACACTAGATACATTCTAACACTTCCAGTCCTTCTAAGCTCAGTTTAAAAATTCTATACACTTGAATTCTCTTAATTAAATGCATAATATTGAGGCTAATTGTAGCTTGAGTCATTTTCTCGATGTAAAGAGCGATAATATGACGTGAACGTCAATCGAAATATTCATGCGTGATAAAAATCGCGAAGTGAAATGCCAGCGATTAACGAAAGTCAGAAAACGAAACCACTACGAGATTTTGTACTATTACGCCATACATTTAATATAGTAAATGCGAAACAAATGCAAATTAAAAGAAAACATGCGTGATGATTTAGCGTCACAAGAAGCTCATTGGTCCATATTTGAAACCCTTCCAGTAGTGGCTACGCTGATGTGCACTGGTGAAATATGCATCCCGTTACCTGCGCAGTTACTGGCAAGCGGTATGATCGCACGATTTTGCATGCAAGATGGCGCTCTTCCGAACATTGCTACTCGTGTGAAGCTGCTGATGATCGCTCATCCAACAGGCGTGGCCGTCATCTCTTCCAACTTAAACCCGCGTGACTTTTCACTTTGGGGAATCTGAAAAATGTTGTTTACAGTGCGCGGATTGCGAACCTGACTCACTTGAAGACAAGCATCACGCACCAGATTCATAGCATCAGCAAAAATACCCTCCGATATGTTGTGGAACATGCAGTTTTGAGCCCCCAGTTAGCAGCGGAACAACGAGAAGATTATATTGAGCAACTTATGCATCAATCATGCGTAAGGTGTTTGTTCCATGAAGCTTCTTTTGTTACTATCGCTGTTTTATCTGTAAATACGTATCATTATCTTTTCACTCATAAAATGGCCGTAAACTATTAGAGTGTATTGTTTCCTTTCGGCTGTACACCCACAACAGCAATGTGAACTTTGGCAGCGCCATCTATCGACAAATTTTGGAACTATTTTTTTTCCTTCGCCAAGTAAAATTCCATTACCTTCAGGATTATTCTGGTAAAATATCAATCCAAATATCAAGTTTAAAAGGAGGGACTTGTCCTTTTAAACTTAGAGCGCATTTTTAATTATAATCACCATGTATATGAATATAATTATTAAAATAATAGCAAATAGTAAGAGCTTATATGCAAGTTTACAGTTTCTTTCCTATGAAGGTCCTAACTATTTTGTATCTCGCAGATAGTCGATATATATATATAATTTTGTTGTGGCCGATTGCAACTAAAAAGGGAGGTGCCAAACTACATGTTATAGTAATCCTACATACAAACATTTTAACCTTCTGAGGCTACTCGCTTTTTGACTTATGCGAAATACATGCATAGTACGTATGCACCTACAAACGTCTTGAAAAAATCTCATCTGAATCCATTTTAAATCAGTTTTATAATTCGTTTGGGGAAGAAGAGTCATTTGTTCGGTCAATACGTACAAATATAAAATTGTTAAAACAATGTTAACTTGCATTCGATAGCGGTCAAATGAATATTTTCATTGAAATATGATACCCGGAATTTTTCGTGATTACAATACTTCCTCTACTTTGTACAAAAGCAGGTAAGAAGGAAATTTTTTTAACTCTTAATATGTAGCAAGGTCTTCACATATTTTTATGAAAGCTGATTGCAGATCATTGCATCTATTATTCCGAAACAAATCTAAATAAATGTTTTCGGTATATTTGTCTTGTTATATTACATATTATTACGATTTTTGTATTTAGTTTGCTATTTTTATCAGAATTGTAATTAAAATTGTTTTATATTCCCGATAGATATCTAGTAATTTATATTTAAATTGAATAATGCAATTGTGTGTTAGCTGTAACTGTAATTGTACTATTTTGCTTCCAGAAACCTCGAGAAAACACAAGAATGTTCTCGTGCATGATTAAAAGGCTTATAAAAGCCGGAGGAAAGCATCTCAGTTCAGATGTTTTCTAAGTTTTCATTATTGATTGTAGCGAATTCGCGGTTGAACGGATTAGCTTTCTCTGTACTTTGAAGTGTGTTCTATTTAACGTTTTCTAGCAGTTTAAAATATAACTACTGTGTGATATCGTACGAATATCTGTGGGGAAAAATTTCAGCATTTTGTTTTATTTCTTGTGATAAGAATAAATTTTATTAACTTTACATCAGATTTGCGCATTCAGTCTGTTACGAACCCGTATGCACGCAATAATATTAACATTTGTGCATATGTGCATTGATGTGTTTATGTTTCTTAAACTCTTATTTGATTCTTGTGTCTCCTTAAATTTTCTTTACTTTTATTTTCCACCGTTTCATTGATTAAATTTTCGTAATTAAATTCAGAAACTCTTAGCACATTTATTAAAACCAGAAATAAATTCGGAAAACTCTTTGATGGTAAGCTTTTTCATTTGCATATATCTTTATAAATTACCTGCTGTACATTTTCTTAGCAAAAACTATCAATGCAAAGATGCCATTTAAATTTCTGCATAGCCCCCGTTCAAGGAATCAAATCAAGTTGAGATTATTCTAGAAGATTGAGTTTGTAATCGAATATTTTTAAAAACTCGATCTCGACGTTTAAAACAAAAACAAAAAAATCTTTTTTTAATTTAATCCGTTAATTAACGAATAGCTCATGAGTGTAAACCGTGTAGCTCCACCAAAAATCGCCAAAAAAATCTGTGTAATGGTTTATGTTGATGAGGCGGTGTGCAAATTTCCGGAAGCCGTTTTTATCCAGATTTCGTGAGAGCTTTAAGAGGATCTTCAACTTATTTGTTTACTTATACCCGCATTGAAATGTTTAAAATCACGTCAGTTTGAAAGAATTTTTTTAGCAGTTTTCTTAGCAGTTATTAGTTTCTTTCGGGTTCTTATTCCGGGTAATTTACTCTGATTGTTTTCGCTTCTCTAGCGCTTAATTGCGTATCTTGGAAAAAGCCGAAAAAGTGAGAGTTAATTAAGTTCCTCTGCTAACAGACTTATAAATATTAATTCAGTTACCTGTCGGGAAGAAGCTCGCATTTTTAGAAATGAACTTAAATATGAATGTATGAAATTCGTGTCCAGAAAAGTGTTTTCTTATTTTATTTTCATGAGGGTTGTGTTAATGTAAAAGTAAGATAATGGGCTTCCAGAATTATTCAAATGTCAGTCGGTGCTTTCGTAGATTTACATTTCCATGTTTAGCTTACTAATTAAAAAGTGGAAAGTGATGTCATTAATTTTTTTTAATCGAATGAAATTCAAAATATTCTAATTTTTCTTAAAATGACTGGAAGAGTATTATATCAAATAACGGCAGAAAATCGAGGTTCAGAGATCTTTTTAGTAGAACTTTATTCTTCTTTTAAAAAACTGGCGGATAATTGCTTTTTTGCCCGCGAGGTAAAATAATTTCTCTATCTTCAAACTCTTTCTGTTTTTGATTGCAATTCAGTCATGATTTCTCTTCTTTGACACTTTCTTTAAGTTCATTACCTGAAAAAATGATTGAGGTCAAATTAAAATTGCCTTCGGGTGACTGCTACAAAAAGCAAACGAAAATGAATATAGTTCCTTTAACTTGGACATATTAACTCTTGATCTCTAAAAGAAGCAGTTTATATTTCATGATCCACCATCTATATTTTGTTTAACAAATTAAAATAAATGCATCTTAAATAAAATAAAAATATATAAAAACTACTAAAATATGCGTGATATAATTTTTTTTTTTTTTTTTTTTTTTTGTGTAAGTAAAAATGTCCAGAATCTGTTAAACATGTCATCTTATAATAAATTATTTCATTTCTAAGTTTCATAAAAGTTAATAAAATTAGACATTTTACGATATTTTAAAAAACGTAAAAATAAAAAACTGCACTTTTTATTTTCGTACTGCATTTTCCTACATGACATGGAATATTAAATTATACGCATGTTTTCTTGTATTTTATTTAAACTTATTAGATTGAATTAAACCTACTTCGCCGACAGCGCATAAACCACAATAGAAAAAATGCATTCTTTAAAATTCACTTTGTTTACCATAACAGTATTATATTTCATTCATATTATACCTCAGAATGCACAAAATGTATATCATTAAGAATTATCTAATCGTTGCCACATGTTCTATTCAAATACTATAATAAAGCTAGAACTATGTATAAAAGAAATTAAGCAAACAAAACAAAAAAGAAACAATTTTTCATAGACGATTGAGTATTTCTCATTTAATTAATTCAGTCTCACTTCGCGAGAAGGCAAAAATACAAAAAAACTCAAAATATCTATATTAAAAATTACGAAGTAAATCTCAAACACTTATTTCCTCGAAAAAATTCCAGAAAGAATTAAGCATGATTTAATTGGCAATAATAAATGAATGCGTTATTTTGTTGTTTCTAAATTAAGTTTCTCTAGATTGGCAACAAATCCACTAGTCTCCTGTTTCAAATGTAAACATCAATGGCCGCCATTAAAAACAGGCTTAGCGGCAATTAAACAACTTTAAAATTGCTGATAATTCTAAAATTATTGCACACAGATTTACTATGGCATAAAATCCTTAACCGGAAGATAAAAACAACGCCGGGTTATAGAGTGGATATATATATAAATATATTTATATACGTTTGGTGCGGCGGATTGCAACCAAAATACGAGGTGCACATCTACATGTTATAGCAGTCCTATATACAAAATTTCAACGTTCTGAGGCTACTCGTTTTTGAGTTATGCGAGATACGTACGTACGTACGCACGTACGTACATACGTTCGTACAGACGCCACGAAAAATTCTCTTCAGAATTAATTTTAAAGCAGTTTTATAATTTTTTTGAAGGAAAAGAGTATTTTATTCTTTCCTTACATACAGATATCACGCAAAAACATCGTTAAATTGCATTCGATAGCGGTCAAAATCGATAGTTTCGTTGAAATATGCTGCCTGAAACTTTTCGCGATTACAATAATTCCTTTTTACTTCGTACAAGGAAGTAAAAACTCTATGGATTACATTACAATTTTCATTTTAATTAAAATGATATTTTTTATGTTAATTAGTCTCCGAACTTTCTACATCTTCTATCGGCCTTTAGAAGAATGCACATTATTTTCATTGCAAATAGCAAGAAGCATTATATAATTCAGAAAGAATACTTTAGTAGCTGTCCAGTAGGTTATTGGCCCAAGAAGATCTATCCCTTTTAGAGGACCGGCAGACTAACGAGTTATTTTGCAGCCGCTAATATTAAAGTTACTGTCTCATTTGCGGAACCAAACAATAAGGTGAAGTTTTAGTTGATGTTTTAGTTTTAGAAAACTCTCGAATAATGTTAATGTTAGCAAATATTAATTTGACGTTATCTTATATGTGTTTAATGAGATTATTTTTTAGTTAAGATAATTCATTAGAGCGAAAATGTGTAATTGAATGGTCATTTAATTCTTAATCTTGTAAATTATTACTTTGAGTATAATATTCTGCATAACATTGTTTGCTAATGTACACTGTGCGCAAAAAAAAGGTCACAGTTTCATACCTCCCGTTTTACTGGGCCGATTGATGAAATTTAATTTGCATGTCTCAGCGCGAGTTAGGATATATATTAGATTTATATAAAGCACTGTTCTAACATAGGTATTTTCAAACAAAATCGGACTTTTTTCTGAAATGACATACCGATTGTTTTCATATTTCGGTTCTACGACTCAAGTTATGCCTAAGTATTGATTTTTGTAAAATTTGGTGAGTATTTTACACATTATGTTGGCCCATTTGTTTCAGTTTGGGCCAAGAATAATTCACCTTGCGAAATTCTTAATTTATGGTAACTTATTTTCCTTTCCTTTTCAGTGTGCACTAACGGACTAGAATGATGCATCGTTCATATTTTCAAGTAGTAATTTTAATAACGTGCGTAAGCCAAATTTGTCATTATTACTCCTTATAACATATATGACAAATTTCAAAATGCGCTAATATATAAATTCACGTATATCTTGGGATATTTTGAACAAAAGACTCTAATTTTTCGCAAGTGTATTTAGAAATACATCTAAGGTGATCATAAGAGTTGAACAAGTTATGAATCAAATCTTTTTTGAAACATTTATAAAAATTGTAAAAATTGCAAATTTTAAAAATAAACCAGAAAATATCTGCGAATTTATTTAGATTGTACTTAAATTTCGATTTGTGGAAGAAGAAATCAAGTAAGTTTAATATAAAAAAGATATTAGTAAATATATACGAAATTGAATTAATATTGAGGAGCTAAAATTTTTAGAGCAAACCTTTTGAAAATGAATAGTGCGAATTTTACAAAATTTGACAGTTTGGCATAATTTCAGTCACAGAATCGAAATATGGAAAAAAATCAGTATAAAAAAAAGAAAAACTGAAAGGTTTTAGATTTTAAATTACGCCCAAAGGGAAGTTTTTTTAAACATTTTGTCTGTTACCTTTATTTATTAAATCTCATTTTTTTCGCACTTAAACCATAAAATTCAGTTCAAGAGCGATATCGCAAAATAGTTTTCAGTATCAGTATCAATCTTGCAACAAGAAGAAAGATGATGAGGACTTTGGCGAACGCCATTTCCTCCAATTCGTGAAGGTTAATATTGAAATTAACAACAAACGTTTTTACAAATTTTTATTAAACATATACAAACATCCATGCCTTCTCCGGGATTCGAACCCGGACCCTTCGGCACGGTAGTCAGCAACGCTAACCACTATACCGGTTGGGCGGCAAAATACTCGTAGTTTTAAATTGAGCATATCTTCAGAATTTCCAATACAGAGTCTCACGCGATGGAGATAAAAATGTTTTTTCTGTACAACGTTGCCATTGCTCGCTTTGAAATCCTTGACTTTGTTAATTAAAAATTCGTTAAAGTTTTATAAATTATAATATCGATAATAAAATTCCGAATTTGGGCTTCCAGATGCCCATATTAGCAGTAGGATTATGTCATTCAAAATTCAATGGCTCTATGTACCGTTGTTTTATCATAATATGAGAAATATACATACATTTATGCAGATTTTTCATTATTTAATTTCTTCAAATATAATTCAGGACTCTAACATTTGGTGGCAACAGTTGGAACGGATATTTATAGTGAACCAACGCAAAATCGCAAAGGAAAACAAAAGTCCTTCAGGGACAAAGCTCCTTTGGACTGAAAAATCACAAATTATAATTGCACAAAATTTCAATTTCAATTAATGTGATGACTGTATTTGATGTAATTAATTGTTCCTGGATTTTGCATAAAACTACTTATTTTAATTCTTAAATCTCCTTGTCGCGAAATATTCAACCGGTTTCTTCTTTCTGTTTTAAGTTACTGATTGGACTATAGCCTGCTTCTGTTTGGTAGGAAGACTTAAAGTTAAAGTTGGTTCGATAATAACTTTAAAATAAATTTCTGGTTCCTTAACTTAGCGTATTTATGTTTTTTGAACATAACGTGTCTTATTTGTGGGATAAAGCTTTATATCAATAAACAATTAACAGTATTATTAATATGTTTTTGTAATCAATGGTATTTTGATTAGGCCAATCAATGCCCGGTGCATATTCAGCTGTCGACCTTCAGTCCATCCTTAATCCTCACAGATCTCCTTTAGAATTTCATCGTCCCCTTGGGGGTCAATGCTGGGAACCCTTGCTCTAGCAAGCAGACATTCAGTTTTACAGACAGACATTTCAGACATTAGATGAGAAAAGAAAAAAAGTGAACATTTTGTATTTTTAGTGTGTTTGTTTGTTTGCCTTCAAAATAATTTTATTTTAAATGACATTTTTAAAACATTTCCAGATTGAGATAGAATGAGAGCGAATAAGTATGTGGAGAAAGGTAGATGGAATAAAAACTAGAAGTCGATTAACGAATGTTTTACCAATCCAACTGTACGTAAGCATTTGAAATGAATACATTTATCATTCACTTCTAGGAAATTAATTAGTTAAACATATAGATTACTAAAAAAATAGTTAAAAATGACCTATTTTAATCCATGAGAATGAAGTTATATTTGTCCCTGGAAGTTAAGAGAATGACAGGTGGTTATCCACTCGCTGTCAAGTTACAAGAAATCTTCACCAAGGAAAAAAATATCGAAGGATTGAAAAACATCTTTTTCTGAGTTTTTGATGGAAGGAAACTTTTCGTTTGAGATACCGTTCATCATTCTCCAGAAAAAAGACAATACGAATGAAAAATGGGGGAATTTATTTCCATTGTATTGGAAAGTTTCATCGATGAATTTTTAAGGCTTACGGATGATCCTGACCATTTCTTCCATTTAACATTACTCTTGGAATATGATTTTATAGCATTATCTGTAATCTTTAGTTGCCTATGTAAACTTATTTAAGAATCGAATAATTGAACGCATGTGCGGAGTAAGTAAATCTTGAGGAAGAATCATTTGATGTTTAAAACGATATTCTGTAATCCTTTTCGTATAAAGTTTACA